TGATATTTTGCATTATCCATTATGTGTACATTGTGCTTAGAAATGTGTGGCTTTGGGTTACATTATCTTGGAAATCTAGTGATATTTGAGGCTTTCATTCATACACTATGTTGTACAAGTTTCTTAAAATGCACACACCATATTTTTCTCAAGTGAATATGGTATTTGTGAGTACCTCCAGCTATTGTAGAGTTCTTTTTGTTGGATGGGACATCAAAGTATTAGTAGTACTGTAAAGGAAAGCTGCATCTATTTTACCTTTTAGCATTCATTCCTGCAATCTTGTAGCATGTCTTGTAACTATTTCTTAGGGAAACTGGCATTTGGGTATAGTTTCTACCCCCAGATTATTCTGGAGGTCCTATGCAAGGTGTGAAGGGGTGGCCCACAGGAGGGCGCTAGACTCCCCTAGAGATTTCTTTGTGCTTTACTAGCAACTCCGGATATTTTTTTTTATAAAACCAGTTACTTTGTTTACGTTAGATTTCTACTTAAGAAAATAGAAATCAACACCCAGCAAGCAAGCTGGTTATGACAACTTTCTGGGTATGTTTCTCTTTTCAATTGGTAATTTTTTGTTTCATTTACATTTTCCTTAAGACACTAAAGTTTTCTTCCTTATTGGCCATGAATACTGCAAGGTATTTTCCTCCCAATTTAATTATCAGGGATTCTCTCAAGAGCAGAGCATTGGGATGGTTCTTTGTGGGCCCTGGAAGGGACCTGAGATACGAGTCTCAAAATCAAATGTTTGAGTAATTCTAAATGAAGACATCACTGACCCAGTATATTTCTTACTTAATGTTTTTCTGGTTTGATTTGAGTATTTCTTATTAATGTTATCTTTTGTGGGCATTTTATTTTGAAATATATTATAACATCTATAGTTAGTAATAACGAGGACATGTGACCAAAATCAGTAATGTTTTGCTTTATACATGTATTTTTTGCTTGATTACTTGAAAATAAAACTTACCCTTATTAGTATTTAATTCCTCATTTTTACTTAACTTATCTAATTAAAAAGCTATGCTATTTTTGAGTACCATGCATGGCGATTAAGCTGATGATACAATTGTTTGCAATTTTAAAAAATTCTCTTTCAGTCATTTAATCATTTCAAGTGTATTCTGAATCCTTTAAAAAATAAATTTGACACATTTAAGAAAAATGTGTTGTCATAAGCCTTTCACACCTTTTGTTATGCCACATAAATTCCCTTTTATAGATGATTAAAGGAAGATTATGACGAAATAATTAGTTCATTTACATTCACTTATAGCAATTACCTGAGAGTTTCCGTTTTGTTGGGTTTAGGTTTCCTGATTTCTGATAATAATAGTTTAGGCAGGTGAGAATTTCTGTTAAAGTACCCATATTCACCATTTGAACCTCTTTAATTTTTGTAGGTTTTAATAAAAATTGTTCAACCAAAACAAAACAATAATGAGGAATAGGAATACATCTGAACACATAAACTCATAAATGCTTAATTTATTTTAAAATATGGAGGACAGATAGAAGCCAGTAAATCCAACTACCTTTGAAGGTAGAGGAAAAAAAATCTAGAAAGGAAGTAACACATACTACATCAATAAGAATAGGTCAATGGCATGGCTTTTGACTAAATGTAGTCAAAGGAGTAGAACTATATTTCTTTTTTTTTTTTTTTTTGCCGGTTGTGGGTGCCTGAACTCTGGGCCTGGGTGCTGTCCCTTGGCTCTTCAGCTCAAGGCTAGCGCTCTACCACTTGAGCCATAGTGCCACTTCCGGCCTTTTCTGCTTATGTGGTGCTGAGGAATCGAACCCAGGGCCTCAGGCATGCAAGGCAAGCGCTCTACCACTGAGCCACCTTCCCAGCCCTAGAACTATATTTCTAATGAGAAACAACTATAATGGACTGGCTAGGGAAGAACTACAAATAAGTTTCAAATAGTAGGTTTGTTTGTCAGGTATGCAAGTAGCAATTGCACATAAAATTAAATAAATGGAAGTCCTGATAACATAAGCAGCCAGGGTTCTCTGGGAGGAAAATGCAAGTCTGCATAGCAGAACTCTTTGGCTTAGACTGGAATTGATATTACTATGAGTAATGTTATACTCCTAGTACTTAGGTGGTAGAGGTAGCAAGATCCTAAGTTTGAGGCCAGACTACATGGCAATGTCCAGGCGTTCCCAGGCTATACAACAAAATACTTTCTCAAAAAGTAAAATATGTACATATGTATATATGTACATATTCATCCACCAATCTAATGTATTACTTGAATAATCTGGATTGCAAGTGCCCAATGGTAATGTAGTCAGAGAAACAAGAAGCACATTTAGATCTTGATTTCCATGTCCTCTAAAATAATTAAGAGTCACTGAAGTGATGGTAGGTTACAAACTGGAACACAGACAATTGAAGCTAAGACTAGAACACCTTGATGGATTAGAAGGACTGAAGTAGGGGGAGGGGGCCGGGGGACAGAGAACAGGGCAGAGAACAGGGCAGGGCAGGGCAGGGCAGAAGCATTATCAAAACAACCTCCAAAGCTATCTAGAAAAAAAACTATGAGGACAAATGTGGCAATTTGAGTGTTTAGGAAAGAAATGGACAATAACCCATCTAAGAGAGCTCCATGAATCCTTGCTAATAGAATTCTCCGAATCCATGCTCCTAATAACATACACAAAACAAAAAGGGCTGGTTCTTCTTTACAAAACAATGATTTCTGCTAATACAGAGGGAACAGTAGGATTCAAAAGTCTCCCATTTTGCAATCACCAGGTAAGAATGAACAGATATTGGTTTAACAGCGTTCAAAGGCTCTGCCCAGGACTTCTAACTGGCATGGAGTTTATAAGCTTGATTAAGAGGGAGGAGGGGGCAATGGGCATTATGGTATGCTACATAATTTCCAGGTTGGGAAATAGAAAGCAAAGAATGATAAAAAAAAAATAGGTGAATCAAAGCTCTGTGTGATTTTAAAGTCTTAAGAAAATCAAACATGGAAGATGTTTCAGAGGAAATCTGTCCACCCCATTCTCTTATCCATGTATCTGCCTTCTCCTTTCAGGGTTCCATATAACTATGTGCCAAGAGAGGCCCAGAAACATGTAATACAAAGACAATTACATGTTTCTTGATGGTAAGTATTACAGCTGTACTTAATTTTTCTTGGCTTTTATCCTCTCTTAATGCTAAGTTTTATGATAATTTGAATAAGTAATATGGATAAGAAAAAGACTGAAGGCTACAAAAATAAGAGATTAATTCCAAATGTGGGGATGTTCTTCTCATTTTAATTTTATAGCATATAACTGCAAAAGCAAGCTATTATAATCTAAGTCTCTAATTGCATTTGGCTATTCAGCCAATCCAAAGAAGGTTACATGTGCTAGAAGGATTCTAAATACCTGATCAGGGAAAAGGTAGAGACATAAACTCAGGAGCTGTATGCTAGACAAAGCAAAGTGCATTCACCCCATGCTTAGGTTATGAAGAATATATCAATGTTTAAAAAAAATTGTAGTGTATTTACTGATTTTTTTTTACCTTTTAACAAAGCAGTTATGTATTCTAGTGATCTTGATCAATGTTACCCCTTCAATATACTACTAATTCTTAACAGCATTTCTGAAGAAGAGGAGGGAAGGAAGAAAAAAAGGAAGGAAATTAATAGTTCACTGTTCACAGGTCAAATGATGTTAATACTTTTGAAAAAGTTAAATGAAATGCATTAACACACACAGAAACTATGAAATTTAACTTAAAAATAGAATTCATTTTTATTTACTGAGAAACACAAAGTAAATATTTAAAAAACATAATAGTAATTTAAGAAGTAATAGCTTGTTTTGGCATTCTGGCAGCTTTAGTTACTTGATATAAACTACCAATTAATTCTGGAATGCCATGCTTCAGATGACCATGGACCCATGTCATGGGCACCTATGTCTGTGGGTTGCGATCAAGTGATAAATACATTTGGAAAGCATTTTTTGATGATGAGAATAAGAAACATTTCTAATCCTCAAATGGCTTAAGATTTCAAACTAGTTTTTTAGATTCTAATTTTCTAAATACAGCTATAAATTTTTAGAAAATCTAAGGTTTGCCTTCCTGTCAGTCAAAATCAAACTGTCTTTTGTGACTGTTTTGATTTTGTGAAAGCAGATCAAACGCACATAATAGTTAACAAAACGACAGTATAATATAGGAATGAAGCCTTGCATTTAAAAAGTACTTAGACTGTTTTTACAAAAGAATCTCAACCATTAATTATTCAACATTTGGATTTGACCAGAAACCAGAGCATGACTTTATAATGCTCTGTTTAAATGAACAACTTAATGTTGCAATGAACACTTGATACAGTGAGCTCAGTGATTTCATACCTGTCATGACAGTATGGTTTTCCCAATTTTTTCATTAATTTTTAGCTAAAACAGATTTTAAAATAAATCAGTTCAAACTTCATCAATTCTTAAAAAGTTTACCTAAACCAAAAATTGTGCATCTCAATTATTTTCTATTCTAAAACTGCATATAGTTTAAACCAATGCATTATTCATAAAGCAAATACTTCAGGAAAAACAAAGCTGTGCACTTCTTTCAAAGCTGTTAAATTGCTAAAACATACCATATTTATGCATGCAATATTTGATTGTGTTTTTCTTAAAACACAAGCTTGTTTTTGTCAGATCAAGATAAGCCAAAAATTCTACACCAAACAATTTTTGCTCATAATTAAAGCAATCATCAATCCAAGGATTGTCATTCATTTTATTTTATCTCTACATCAAAAAAAAAGGTAATTTAAAAAAATTTAAATTCCCTTGAAATGATAAGATAAATGAAAATGTAAGTGCCTTCACATAATAAACGGTAAGCTGACCCTTTGGGAAATGGTTGACTTTTTCAATACAAGGTATTCAAAGCCCATTCAAAAGCATTCATTTAGAATGCAGATATCAAAGATGATGCAAATGTTCAAGAGAAAATTAGAACTTACCAGATGTTCTAATCCAGCTTTGATGTTTCCAGATTCCCTAAAACAGAAGAATAAAAGTTCTAAACAGTTGTCTGCTAAACCCTTGTCTGCTCTAATTTATGGTTACCTAAAAAATGTTTCATAAACTCTTACAATTCTTCATCTATCTTTATGAATACGTATCATCATTTCTAAGAATAAAACAATTTCCATTGGATGGGAATAATTTATGTAAAATAATGTTACCTTTAAAATTGGTATTTTGCTAATGCAAAAAGTATTTCAAATCTTTCAGTTAATAAGAAGCAAAGGAAGTAATAAATTATTATTTTGCTATTCATGTAATTTTATTTTTACATCAGTTTTTTTCACTAGAGGTATGATTATTTTCAACACGTATTACAAAAACATTCAAACTTACACATTCTCTCCACTACTAGATTTCTAAAATTATCATTTTACTTTATTTGCTTCATCAAATATTCACCCACCAATGGTTGTATTTTTATATAAAGAACATAGACATAAAGAATATGTGAGTATACAGCTAAATATACTAATGAATTATTTCTTGATATTAATCTTATTTGTTTAGTGCTTACTATAATTCAGGACCTAAGATTGTTGTAATATTAAGAAACTAAATAGAGTTTAAATATTTAATTTTGTGCTTTTAACTACAAAGAAAAAAAAGGCAAGGAAACAAAAAAAGCAAATAGCAAAGATAATCTGTCCAAGTAGCAAAGCTAATTTAAATCTACATTTGATGACATATGGCAAATGATGGGATTTTTTTTTATGATTTCAACCTATACTAGTTTAGGTTTGACTTTTATCTCTGCCCAAGCAATATTTTAGATCCAATGTAACTACAGGTCTTTTCTTTCATAACATGAAATTATATCTATGACACTGCAAAAAGTAACAACAAACAATGTAATTATATTTATGATGTTTAATGTTTTCCCATGTTTCTTCTGTTTCTCAGAATGGTCTCAACTTTTTTTCTATTTCTGTCTCATATTTTTCTTAGCGGCGAATATAATTATCTGCTTCTTTTGTCACTCTATTCTACCTTTCCAAATGCCTTCAACTTTGATGCCTGAAAGCTGTATGCCAGCTCTCAGCCTGGGTTTTCACTCGCTCGGGGTGAGACCTCCTTTCCTGGCTGGCTGGCACTCAACTACAATGAAGACTACAAATAGGCTGTTTTCAGGGTAGTCTGCTGTCAGTTCAATTTGGTAAAAAAAAATTTTTTTTTGGGGGGGGGTCCAGTCGTGGGGCCTAAACTCTGGGCTTGGGCACTGTCCCTCAGCTATTCAGCTCAAGGTTAGCGCTCTACCTCTTGAGCCACAGCACCACTTCCGGCTTTTTCCTTTTTGCTTATGTGGTGCTGAGGAATCGAACCCAGGGCCTCATGCATGCAAGACAAGCGTTCTACCACTGAGCCACCTTCCCAGCCCCTAATTTGGTAAAATTTAAGAGAAAAATCTCCTGGGTTTTTGAGCTTTCTGCATTTCTACAGATATAAAACTGTCCTTTAAAATAAAAATTTAAGATATTGCTTTGCTGTGCTTCTAAGTGCTTCTTAAGAGCTTTTAGACAATATGTGTTTTCTAAATACCTCATGCTGAGAGAAAACCATGCATTATTCCTTACACGCTTCTTTTCTACCAAACATAAGGAAATGGAATGAACCACAGAGCCATGGCTGGCCAGCCTCCCTCAGGACAGGTTCAGCCTCACAGCCTCTTGTGGATCTCAGTGGCCCCTACCTCACCAGGTCAATCAATGCCTTCTCCACAGTACTTCCAAGCCTTTCTGAAATGTGAGCGCAAGTTCCACACCACCCTTCTACACTCATCACATGGACATGGAGGTGAGAACCGTGACACACTAACCTCACCTCTGGACTACGCTGTCAACCTGAGATAGGCCTCCACCCTCAGCCTCCTCTCACAGCCTCACCCAGCCAACAAACAAACATCCTGAGGACTCAGCCTAAATCTTTCCCCAACAAAGCAATGCATTCTTCCATATGTTCCCATAACTCTGGGAATGACCCATCACAGAATTTATCATATCATTATCATATCATTTATCATATCATTAGAATGTCTTCTTAAGTTTCTCTAGTACCTGTAAAACAAACAGCCCTTGAAGGGATACATGACATCTTTTCCAATTTTTATATTCTAGCACCAACTGTGAAATCATATTTAAAAAGTAATACGCACCTGACCTGACTATTATAAGACAAGGCTGGGCTCAGAGTCATAGCAATAAGCCCAGGTCTGAGACGTTTTGAGCAGCATCCCTACTGCCTCCACCCTAACAAGACCCCCAGGGAGCAAGCCAGGAGCAGTGGCCTGGGAGAGCTCTGTCAGGAGGCATGTGGACATGGTACACGGGTAGACACGTTCAAGGCAAGCATGTGGCTCCCTTTGCTGTTTCTTACTGGATTTGAAAAGAATCAGAGGGCACAATGAGAGACGTGGTTGAGCCTGATTAGAGCAAGGGCTCTACCACATGAACCACACCCTCCACACTTTCATTTTTATTCTGTTTAAGATAAGTCTCTCTGCTACCTTCAACTGGCTGCAGACTCCTGAATTCTTGAGGTTTCAGACATGTGCCTCCACTCCAGTTCTTAAGTTGGCTGGAGCTTCAGTCAGAGCCTAGGCTCTCATCCTGCCCTTAGGTTCAAGTGACTTGACTCAACCCCAATGCCGACAAGTTCACGGGAAACACAAGGTGTGTCAGCACAAGAACAGAAAATAGCAAATACAAGAACCTCATCTATAAAAAAAATATATTTGAGGAAGTGGGGCTGTGGCTCAAGTGGTAGAGTACTAGCCTTGAGCAATAGAGCTCAGGGACAGGACCCAAGTCCAGAGTCCAGGATGGAATCAGAATATAATCCAAGTACATCTTCAAGGAGAAGAAATTTTAAATGTAATATGAAAATGAACTTATAAAAAGGCTCAATAGCTAGGCACCAGTGGTTCATGCCTGTAATCCTAGCTACTCAGAAGCCTGAAATCTGAGGATCACGGTTCAAAGCCAGCCTGGGCAGGAAAGTCCTTGACACTCTTATCTCCAATTAACCACCAGAAAAAGGGAAGTGGCACTGTGGCTCAAGTGGTAGAGTGCTGGCCTTGGGACAGTGCCTAGGCCCAGAGTTCAAGCCCCATGACTGACAAAAAATAAAAATAAAGGCTAAAAAATGTGATTATGAGTAATCAAAATAATCTGGTCATGGTGGCACATGTAATTCCATCACTTAGAGGTCTGAAGCAGGAGGAAGGCAAGATCAAGGCCATTCTGGGCTTTACAGTGAGAGGCTGACTCAATAATAATAATAATAACAGTTTGAAGTAAAAAATTCAGGATGGATGAAAAGTGTAATACATACAGAGAATGAATTAATAAGCTGGAAAACTTGAGGAGAACTATCTTAGAAGGCAGAAGGAAAGGGTAAGAAGATAGAATAAGAAAGAAAATTCAAAATAGGGGAAGTGTTAACATCTGTGTAATTGGAACTCAAGAAAGAGAGGAAAGATAAAATGAAAGAGAATAAATATTTGAAGAAGTACTCAATTTTTAAATTGGAAGGACAAGGATCAGTAAAGAAAATTTGTAGTAAAGAATATTGTTATAACAACATTTAAGACTGTTAATGAATTAAGAGAAAAGTCTTAAATGAGACCCTTTCCTAAAGGAGGGGAAATGTTGGTAACAGACTTCTCAATATTAATGCTAGTTACAAGACAATGGAGCAGTAATTCACAAGACAAAAAGTAGGGGGAAACATTGATCTACAATTTATAAACATTTAATAAACTTTCACTTAAATAGAAGGAAAAAATAAATTCTCAGCATACAAAGACATGGAAAATTCACCACACGGAGACATTATAGAAAACAAGTCTTAAAAAATATAATCCAGTGGCAAAAGAAATAAATTCAGGAAGAAACAAGATTTAAAAAAAGGACTGGGGCTGGGAAGGTGGCTCAGTGGTAGAGTGCTTGCGTCGCATGCATAAGGCCCTGGGTTGGATTCCTCAGCACCACATAAGCAGAAAAAAAAAAAAGCCGGAAGTAGCGCTGCGGCTCAAGTGGTAGAGTGCTAGCCTTGAGCTAAAGAGCTGAGGGACAGTGCCCGGGCCCAGAGTTCAGGCCCGAGACTGGGCCCCCCCCCCCAAAAAAAAGGATTGGCTAGAATTTAGTGATTATTTTAACTTAATCCATCACAGATAAAAAGAAAAGTAAATGCAGTTCACTTGAGAACACCTGAGATTTAAAGGCTACAGGAGAGTCAAATTTTAAATTTAAAAATGATACATACTACAAAATGAGTAAGAAAGGCTTCCCAAAAGAAGGAGGGGAAGAAAAAAACATAATCACACAAATATGGGCCAAAAGAAAACTGAAGTGGCAACTTTACGTAGATGGCTGGGTGCCAGTGGCTCATGCCTGTAATCCTAGCTACTGAAGAGGCTAAAATCGAAGGATCATGGTTCGAAGCCAGTCCAGGCAGAAAAAAGGACCCCATGAAACTCTTATCTCCAATTAACCACTCAAAAACAAGAAGTGGAGCTGTGACTCAAAATGATAAAGCACTAGCCTTGAGCAAAAGAGCCCAGGGACAGCACCCAGGCCCCGAGTTCAAGCCCCACAATTGACAAAATAATAATAATAATAGATTTATGTCCCCTTCCTCCTTCAAATTATATATACGTACATACATACAAATTATACATACACACACATGCATACAAACACACACTATTCCAAAACAATAGAAAAAACATCATGAGTTCAAAAATACAATGCCATTCTTTATAATCTCGGTTGAATAAGTAGAATACCACTTAAATTTGAATTTAAGCACTACCACAAAATATTCCAATAAGTTTGGATAATCATCCTACTCTCCTGCAGTCCAGACCACAAATGTGGGTAGGATGATGGAACACTTGCCTTAGGAAGTCCCTTCTAAATTGGACAGTGTGATAGAAATGATCTTATGATGGTTTCTACTGAAGTACAAAAAGA